TCTAGGTTAACATTAGATTGAGCGGCCATGTAAAGTTACTAATACTTACATATTTCAGATGATAAGACATATTTGTGGTGGATGATTGATAGGCGAGCGTTTGGATGTCCTGCCGGATGTACTGTATTACCATAGAGCAGCGATCTGCGTGATTTTGCCAATGTGGGTTTGTTTTTTCTGCGACTAAAAACTTTTGGTCGAACAAGCCTCTTCTGGTCAACTAACAATTAGTCGACTATTAGGGGGCAGCCCTAATATAGTGTATTTTATACAAATATAACAGATGTAAATGACAAAAACAAAGTTTAAGGCTGATGTCTCTTCATTTTCACAGAAGCAAAGCAGCAGATGTTATAAATAAAAACAGTTAGCAATGTCATTGAATAGAATATATTAAACGTTATTGAACGACATGGGCCTGATCCCATGGCCTGATCATTATATCCAAATACACACTCCCCAGCAAGCAATAGCCGTCATTTCAACGTCTATATTCCGGCTATAATGCACTCTACACCTCCATTATCACCTGCTGCAGAAGACGTAGAGATTGAATCCCTGTATCAAACTGTAATGCTGCAGCCATTTTCCATCCTTTACACTTACATTTAGTCATTTAGCAGACGCTTTTATCCAAAGAGACTTACAAATGAGGACAATGGAAGCAATCAAAATCAACAAAAGAGCAATGATATGCAAGTGCCATAACAAGTCTCAATTAGCTTAATGCAGTACACGTAGCAAGAGATTTTAAAATAAAATAATAAATAAATAAAAAAACCTAGAAAAAGAATAGAGCAAGCTAGTGTTACAGGTCTTTTTGCTTTGTTAACTGTATAATAAATGAAAAGAAAACGGATAGAATACAAAAAGATTAGAAAGAAAGTGTTTTTTTAAAGAATAAAATTAGAATAGAGAGTGCTAGAGTTAGAGGTTCAAATAAAGATGGACGAGATGCGTTTTTAGCCGCACTGTAAATAGGTTGCTGTAAATTTTACAGTAACTTACTGGCAGCTGGATGCCAGTAATTTACTGTAAAAAAATGTTTACATTATTGTTACTGTAATTGCATTTACAGTACAATAATGTATTTACTGTATTTTATTTACAGTATTATTACCATATTTTCATTTACAGTATTGTACTGTAGAGTTTATTTTCATTTAGTTAAAAAAAAAATTTACCTGTAAAAAACAATCCAATTGTGGTACTGCACTGTAAACCATGATTTTTACCATTGATTTACTGTTTTTTTCTGTACTTTGGATCAAATAAATGCAGGCTTGGTAAGCAGAAGAGACTTCTTTAAGAAACTGTATTTTATTTACAGTATTATTACCATATTTTCATTTACAGTATTGTACTGTAGAGTTTATTTTCATTTAGTTAAAAAAAAATTTACCTGTAAAAAACAATCCAATTGTGGTACTGCACTGTAAACCATGATTTTTACCATTGATTTACTGTTTTTTTCTGTACTTTGGATCAAATAAATGCAGGCTTGGTAAGCAGAAGAGACTTCTTTAAGAAACATAAAAAATCTTACTGTTCAATAACTTTTGACTGGTAGTGTAAATAAAATACAGTAAAACTTAGTTTGTGGTGTTAAATTTCAGTCATTTTGACAGTAAAAGTTGACAAGCTCTCCGATGAGAAACCGCAGGATGGGATTCAGGCTGCACCCTTTCCAAAATTCCACCTGATCTGTGACTTTCAATGCATTTGGTGCCCAACAAATTTAGGACGGTTTATACACAACATTTTATAAACGAGGCCCCTGGCCCTAGGAGTTTGTTCTGCTCTTCCTCCAGTTGCTCATTCTGGCATGATAACAAAGGGACTAAACTCCCTGTAGTTCAGCCGTATCAGTACCTATAGAGTATCCGCTGTCACTGTCATTTTTGAAATAATTCTTTGTTAAATTACTGAAGTTGAATCAGTACTGTGGATTTTCCCTCACAGTAACATCACAATAATATACTGTCACCTTACATAGAATAATCAGTTTCTTTTCCAACACATCAACCTTGATAAGTCACAAATAAAAGACTCTGAGATGCAATTAACTGTTTGAAACTGTTAACTGTTTATTTCTATTAAATACAACACCGACAAATCCAGTTAGTGTTTCTGCTGTGACTAGCTGCAAATATAAATGTATAATCTATAATTATATCTAATTTAGATCATAAACTCTTTGAACAACACATCCTGTACATCTGCTATTCAGGTCAAAGTGAGCATTTCATGTTGAAGGTATCAGTGTCTTAATGTGCTCACACCAGCTTTCTAATGTTGGCTTTCATATGGTCTCCCTGCAGTATGTATACATAATGTATAATGCATCTCACTGCTTTAGTTTTGGCAAAATTACCTGTTTAAAGTTTAAATGTCTGAACACTGCAACATTACACTTGGAACTGGCTGCATATCTCATTTTAAGCTCTCAGTGGTTGCAGGACACTTGCAAACATCAACAGAATATATCAAATATATTAAAACTACTAAAACATCAAAAGTGGTGTCCTGCACTCTCTGTTGTGAGCATGTGTATCTTTCAGGGTAACGTGTCTTGCTGTGTGTGGGTCTGTATATGAGAGAGCGCGTGCAAGTCAGGGTGGTGTTTCTTGGTGTGTATGCGCAGGTACTGTTTCCCTGCGAATCGTTTTCCACAGCGGGTGCATTCGTACGGTCTTTCTCCGGTGTGGACAGTCTGGTGAGCAGTGAGGTGCCCGGACTGCGTGAAACGCTTCCCGCACTGCTCACAGCGGTACGGCCGTTCTCCAGTGTGAATGCGCATGTGTGTGTCCAAACTCTGCGATGTGGTGAAACACTTCCCACAGATCGAGCAGATGAAGTGTCGCTTGCCGGCTTCACCTGTCCGTAGAGCACCTAACCGGCCATAGAGACCCAGCCCTGAGACGTTACCCAGAGCAACGAGCCGCTGTGCAGCAAACAATGGAGAATTATGGGATATGAGAGAGTCTGACCCGCCAATCCTCTGTGGAGAGGTCTGCAAGTGTGTGAGCGTGTTACGGACAGAGTGCGTGGCCCAATCAGATACCGGATCCATATCAGCCTTCATGCACAAGTCTTCATGAAACACTCGATGGATTTGGGAAGCGCGTGTATCCGACGAGGTTTGCGCAAGGGAGAAGGAAGCATTATCTGAAGCAGCCAAGTCGATGCTGGAGTGCTGGGACTCATCAGCGCCGGAGTGTGTGTCTGCAAACGTGAGAGTGTGAGAGTGTGTGTCATGGTCAGGGGAGTGGGAGAGTGTGTGAGAATCCTGTCCCGAAAGTTCAGCTACATCTGGTTTCAGAGAGTCGTGAGTTACTGCAGAAACACTTTCACCTTCATCCTCATCGTCGTCATCATCTGTTGAGAAACACACACAGTATGAACTCATTTTGAAGGGTTAGGTATGAACATTCCTAGTATGCAGTATATTTTCATGCCCCCTCATAGATGCACTAATATTTTGGATCATTTTTAACATATCTGGTTGACAGAATTTTTTTTTTTTAAATAATGTAAAAAAGTAATACAACTTGATTGAGCTGCTTTACAGCTGAAACTGAATGAATTATGACATTGATAATTCTAAATGTTTATTACAGTGAAGCTGCTTTGAAACAATCTGTATTGTATAAAGTAAATAAATATGACTTCATTATCGATTACTTAAAAGTTAAAATATCAATTTACATAGAAAATATGCAAAGGCAAATACTTAAAAGACAATATACATACTTAAAATAACCATACATATCTCAAATTTGGCTTGGTCAGCTGGGGCTTAAAATACAATGTTCAGAAAATATTATCGATCTAACTGTACTGACACTAAGATGAGAACACACAAAACCTGAACTGAGCTGAACAATAAAACAAATCTAATCATCTTCACTGAATATTTAAGTTGATTATCATTTTGTGTTTATAATGAAGACTGTACGTACAGTAGGCAACCTGTATTTGTTTTTTTTCAATATTTTGTCATGTCACTTTTCTTTCTATGTTGCTTACCAGAAGCTGCTCTGCGTCTTAACCACGATACTCTGCATAAAGGTCATGATGCCTATCCACAGAAATGTATAACACCTGATTTCTTGTTTATCAAGATGAAATTATCGGTTTATTTTTGAAAAACAAAAAACAAAACAAAAAAAAAACATAAGAGCACAACCATGACTTCATGAGATATTTGTGTGGACAAAGGTGTGTTTGTAGTTACATTTTTACGTTACGATAAAGACATTTTTCATGAGAAGTTATGCTGTTAGGACTGTTCCAGCATGCTCTGAAGTGCAATTTTAATCTCACGTTGTACTGATTTTATGGGTAAACTAACAGAGGTGTCATCACAGATTATGTTTTTCAAGAGTTTATGTAATCGCTGTGCTAGTTTATTAAATTAGTTACCATACAAATAAAAATAACTCTGAATTGTTTAATGAGTTTACTTGTATAAGCCACTTCATAAGTCATGCTCATTTAAACAATTTTGTTTCAAGTTAAAAGTTTTGTTTTATGGTTATAGTGCAACAACAATAAAACGTCACCATAAAAAAATACTACTTTTGTGAGAACATTAATAATTAATGAATACATTATTTGTGTGTCCACTTTACATTAAGGTGCACTTTCACAGGTTAATGTTTATAATTCAAGAATAAATGGTTCATCCTACATAAGGTTCACAGGTAACTAATATTAGAATATAAATGTTCGTCTTTAATATTTCAGGAAGTTATGGTTGTGGTCCTTTTTCCTCCCAAAATAAAGTTTGTTAATTTACTCTAAATAAACATGAAATCAGGTGTCATGTTTGTGCTCTCACGTTTTTCTAATTTGTGTGTATTTTTTTTCCAAAATAAACTTGAATAATTTCATCTTGATAAACAAGAAATCAGGTGTTATACATTGCTGTGGATAGGCATCATTAACATTTTGCAGAGTATCGTGGTTAGGACACAGAGTAGCTTCTGGTAAGCAACATAGAAAGAAAAATGACACGAGTCATGACATATTAATGAGAAAACCACAAATACAACACCCTTCAGTCTCACTCTAATAGTCCATTTTTGCTGCATTATGAAATAAATCAGGAATCTAATTTTGAGTGAAATAAGTACGAATAAATATATTTATTAAGCATTTATAACATTAATTAAAAATGGCTCGCTATTTGGCAGGTACTGTGTTAAAGTCAACCTTGTTATTCATGCAGTTATAACGGTCTATCAATGATAAATGAATTACTAGTCATTAATGAACACCTTTATAAACCTTTACAAAGGGAACCTTTTCTGTTAGCAAAATCTCTATAACCTGCAATATGACTGACTACCTTTCATAATTTCATTTCATATTTGTCTTGAAAATTTATTTATATTAATATCCATTATATTTATAATACTATCTATAATATTGATTTCAGAATATGATTTGTTAAAGAAGATTATGCTTCAGGTAACGCAGGAACTACCTTGGCATCTCTGACTCCTGATTGGTCCCTTGGTGGTCTCGAGGCACTCTGACTGCGAGTGCGTGACGTTGGTGGTGCAGAGACTTCCCTCTTCCTCTTTCGGACCAGAGAGCGAGATCTCCGAGCATAATGGCTCTAGAGTGACATAAGGTGAACACAAGAATGCTCAGAAATGGATCACCATTATTAAATGGCATACCAAATCAAGTGCGTTACCAATACAGTTTCAGGCTAATGGAAAATCTTACATCATCTTTATCGGTCATGTCCAAACCCAGATCAGCCATCTCCTTCTCCAGAGTCGCTCTCTCCACCTGCACCACGTATACCAATCAAATCGATCCATCTTTAACCATCTAACTAATACTTAGGGTTAGTTCCGTGTAATTATGCATACTTTACGTTATTACTACAGTAAGTACATGAAATGTGTAACAAGGTTAATGTAAAATAAAACATTACCAAACATTAATAAAAAATATGGGTTTTTGAAGCGATTAATCTTAATAACTACATACTTTACCTAAAATATGTAAGTAATATCTGATATAAAACTACTTGCTATCCTTTAAACAAATATAAAAATAAGACTGCTGGACAGAAAGACTGACCTTCTTGGCCGTGCGGGGCATTCTGGATCCCTGTGTGTCTTTCTCTTTGGATGAGAGAATCTTCAGCTTCCGTTTCTCGCGAATCTGACTGGCGAGTTGACGGATCTCCTTCATCTCTTCATCCTCACTCTCCTCCTCTGAGTCGTACTCTCCGGCCTTCGCACGCAGCTCCTCTTCCTGCTCCAAATCCTCCAGCCTCTGAGGATGAGAGAAGGGACAGAAATTCAAAACATCATCTCAAACAAGGATGTAACCAAATATTCAATACTGAGGCCACAAAAGGTCAATAAAAATAAAAAAATAAAAAAAAAAATCCATATGAGCAACAACTAATCTGAATTTCTGGAGGCATTTTTTTGGTCCTGAAAAGAATCTAATGCATTTTTTTTTTCATACCTTCATGATCTCAGGGTCAATGTAGTCAGCAATATTGTGACCCTCCCAAATCTCAGGAATCTTATCCTGCTTTTCTTCTGGATTCATCAACTCCCAGTATTCTGAATACACAAGACAACATTTTTAGATGCGTCTGGAGTATATATTTGTGTACATGTGTATGTGTGTGTTAATATATTACTCTGTAGATCCAGTGTGTAATCGTCTCCCAGCTCGACCTCCAGGTCTCTCTCCAGTTTGCGTTTGGGAGCATTCGTCTCCATCGCCTTCCTACGGAGCAGAGCCCCCTCAGGAATAAATGGAGGCCTTTCCTGCACAAACCAAATCAAAACCTTTTACAAATGCACTACTTTTGCAAGAAGCATTTATACAGAAATATGCTTATGACCAAGCGGACACTGATCTAAGTAGTGCGAAGAGCATGTACCCTCTGATCTCTCTTGGTGGGCACTGCCAGATGGAGTCTGTTCAAAACTTCATGGACCTTCTTGGTTTTCATCTTTGTGTCCACACGGTGAGCCAACAGCCGATCACATGCCTGTAAACCACCAATCTACATCAGCCTACAATACTCTTACTCTCTAAATTGGTACATGAAACGAATAGGCTGATTTCAGTGAGCATGTGTGAGTGAGTGGTTGTGATCTTACCTCAGCCTTCACCTGCATCACTCCCTCTTCCGTCAGAGAGCTGGTCTCAATCACTAAGATCCCCTCAGCAGTAAGATCCGTAAAGACTTTCTAAATTCACACATAGAGCTCAGTTTCAGTTTCACTGGAGAACGCTTCAACCAGTTGCAGCTAACCATTCTCTCGTGATTTCTCCTATCATCCTCTAAACTGTTTGAGATTAAATTAACATATATCTTAGTCAAATGATGCAATTGCAAGCTTATGAAGCTAGGAAGAAAACTGGTTATTATAAAACATCTGTTAAATTGAAACTGAAAATTGTCCCCAAATTTGTGTGTGGTTACTTTGCTAAACACAAAAGGTGAATCTTCACACCAAAAGTTCATAAAAGAACAAAAAGCACCATCAAATTAAAATGTGTTTGAAAGAAGTCTTTTATGCTCACCAAGGCAAAAACAGTCAAATAGGTTTAATACATATTATTACAATTTAAAATATATTTTCTCTTTTATTGCATTTAAAAATAGAATTTATTCCTGTGATGCAAGGCTGAATTTTCAGCAGTCACTACGGCAGACTTCAGTGTCACATGATCCTTCAGAAATCATACTAATATGGCGATTTGACGCTCGGCTCAAATATTTGTTATGATCCGTAATGTTGAAAACAGTGGAAACTGTGATGCATGTTTTTCAGGATTATTAGACTACGGTCAAATAAAAAGATTTAATAAAAGGATTACTGTCAATTTTGATAAATTTAACATCCCTACGAATAAAAAGCATTCATTTCTTAATGCTTAAATACTTAATTTCTCAAGTACTTAAAAGTCCCCATGAAATCAAAATTAAAGTGTTTTGGGTGTTAGTATCAATATATTAGTCTTAAGGTTATCTATAAGGCAGTGTGCTCCAAAACAGTGACAACATTTGCATTTAGAAGATATAAGCATTCAAAGTTTGCAGTTCGTCACTTCCGCCAAAATGGCTCAATGATTTTGTTGACGTCACATCGTACTTCAGCTTCTCATCAAACTTTCTGTCCAATCAAATGCTCTCTAGAATCTGAAGCGCCCGCCCCCTACACTATAAAATAGACGCTGAAGCCGCGGCTGAAATTGGTCACTTGTCCACAGAATTAGTATTTTCTGTACAGTGAATGGCACGTAGTGCACTATATAGGGGACAGGGAACGATTCAAACAGTATAAATATGCTTTCCATTGAGGAAAAAAAGAAGTCTGGTTTGGCACTGTGTCACACTAACCACCGCACCGCACACACACACACACACACACACACTCTGCTCCTCCAGTCCAGAGACACGATAGCACGGAGCGGATCACAT